CAAAATCCAACTTCTTTGCCATGAAGTTGATAGAAAAGTGGAACTCTTTACATAGTGATGTTTGACTATGAAGAACTATTGACAAATTCTAATTCTAATCATAAAATAAAAAATAGTTCAGAGATTTTACAAATTTAAATCTTGATACCAATCAATAATCCTAAATTATTTCTCTTCTTTTAAGATTCCACCCCAAATTTGGCTGAAGAGCCCAAGTATTTCTTACTGTAGAAAATAAAAATCTCACAGATTTAAATATTTTTTGTTTTGACTGAGATTTTGAGCCATTTGTTGCTTACCATTAATATTATAGTAAAGTGTGTGAGTAGTAAATAGTAATTAAAAAAAAGAGGGACACATTTCAGACATTAGAAAGATGAACACACACACATATATATATATATATATATATATATATATATATATATATATAGATATAGATATAGATATATATATTTCTGTTTGGATTCAATGTAGGACTAGCATTTCATTTTTATTCTTGGCATGCCAAAATCCCAAATTGCAGATATCCTCTGTACTGTTGAGAAGAATTATTATAATTCCAAGAGTTTACTGATCACGTTCTTCTTGTTTAAGACACTACATTTTTATATTAATGTTCACCCAATACAAGGAAGCCACTCAAGAGTCACTAAAGGTAGAGGGTTACTGTGTTGTGTTGTGTTAGTGTTGGAAAGAAGTGAAGTTCTTGGGAGATATACCAAAAAGATAGCTGCTAATTCTAAGCTTGAAAAGGTAAAGATTTAGTGAATAACATTTCAGAGGTCAGTTGGAGATGTTAGAAGTATAGAGTTGAAGTAGACTTTAGAAGGAATCAGAAACCCAATCCTTAACAGGAAACAAAGGATAAACCTTTACTCCTGTTCAAAAGACCAGGGAGGTGTGTGAACAGGATAATAAGTGAACCTATCTACTCCTATACCTTTTGGAATTTCGAGATAAATCATAATCATTCCAAAAGTTGTCCAAACAATTCATTATTTTTGGTGCTTTTTGCTTCATTGTTTCTGCCAATCTATTCTGAAGCCATTTTCAGGTGTGCAGTCCATTTAGGAAGAGGTAGCTCTTTTTTATATCATTCAAAAAAGAAAATGGACTGCGCATCACAGGAAAGTCATAGAATGGATTGCTTGAAAGGGTGTGATAATGATAACAAAAGCAACAATTAAAGAATTAATTGCCAAGTCCAAAGTTGGAATGCTAAACAGTAGTTTTCCTAACCACTTTATACTCAACAGAAATCTGGCTGTTCAATCTTTGTGACTAACAGATACAATGGAGAAAACAGAGTCAAGTGCAATGTTGGTGGTCAGACTCACTGATGTCATCTTTCTGACAATTCATATGGACAAAGTGACACATTTCTTGAGACAAAATCAATAAAGCAACTCTTGATTTCCATACAAATCATCTTTGTCCTGAAGTGTAAATACCTTATCTTGTCTTACTAATAATGAGGGGATAATTAATATGAAGAAGAAAAATCTTAAACAAATCTTGGAGACAAACTCGGCTGTCTGTTGAATATTTGATTCATTAGTAAATATCACATCACACTTTGGCTGATAAAATGTTAAATTGAAACTAAACTGAGATTTCCCACTTATACTTTAAAAAAGAAATGTGAAAAATAGTTTTGCATTGCAAAATGAATTTGAATCTTTTTGTTTTTGCACAAGAAACAAATGAAAAATAAAAGTATGTACTTGGAATAAAATAATTTCAAAAACAAAAATAGCTCTAAATAAACTGAATGAATATGCCTCCAAACATTCATGACACTGTATTTATTTTTACATTGAAGCATTATAGAAAGTTAAAAAAAAAAAGTCCACAAATGTATCTGCCATGATAAAGTCCTCCAGCAAAATTCAAAATACTTAATTTAGTTTATGTTTTACAAAGACCCAGTGAAGAAACAATAAAAAAAAATGAAATGAAAAAGTGTTTTCAATCATTTTAGGTTTCAGGTAAAGGAATAGTGTATGAAGGAAATTGATACACACCTTTCTCAAGGCTATTAGTAGACTACGAACAAAATTGGTCTCAGATCAAATTATTATTCTTATATAGTATAAGTAACATTTGAAGTTGCAGTTATTTCATTATGAGCAGTTAAGTGCCATAGGTGATTTGATTGGTAGGTGTAAGTAATATATGCAGTATTCAGTGTAAAAATCTTGTATAAAAAGATGAAAATGTTTGAAGGGTACAATAGACAAAACCCATGATGAAGCCATGACTACCAATTGAGTGACGTATTTAAGTGAGATATTTAAAGTGTTGAGTATTTGGATATTCCCGAGTTGAATTCTCTGTCTCAAAGCACATAAGCACATGACATATATGTCAAAGTTTTATGACAATATTTACTTGAAAAGCTGTTGAAAATAAATTGACACACTACTTGCATTACAGAGAAGAAAAAATGAAGAATCTATAATTTCAATCAAATAAGTTCTTAGGCCATCAAGCCCTGCTGTATCCTGATGGTAATTGCAATATTAGTTGTTTCCCTTGAAAGGAAACATTTGGCCTTAATTGACTGAACAGCCAATGCTACTTTCAGTAGAAATTTATGAAATCTTTCTATTAAAACAATTTTTCAGGAAAATAAGTTTCTCAAGTCCAGTAACTGTTATTGCTATTTCCAGTATTAATAGAGGTTTCCTTTGTAACCTTTTTGTTTAAATAGCAATGAACATCAACATTTTGATTATTTTCTCTTCAAGTTACATGTGATATCCATTTTTACTGTTGAAAATCTTTAAGTGATATAGTTTCTACCATTTGGTAGAGTTCTTTGTGATTCTGTGGTGCCGGTCTATGAAGGTTCAAAGAAGGATAGTACTCCCTAAGATCCATGAATTTAATTCTCTCAAAGCCAATTTTAACCATTGATCTGATAAAGTAGTTATATACAGCTGATAATTTAGAGATTTCTGAACAAGTCTGCTGCTATGCATGACGTCCACATGAAAGTCTCAATCTCATGAGGCTATTAAAAAAAACATGAATCAAGTTTTTAGGTTAATCTTTTCATTTTGTCGCAACTTGTAATATTGTGTGAAACTAGTCCCAGTGCAGCCTATTCCATGTTCAATTTACTTATCTCCTATACTAAATTTGTTACAACTGATCCATACACTGAGGTATTTAAATTGTTTAGTATTTACTAATTCCACATATTGAATTTTTATGATGGATTCTAGATAGGTGCCATCATTGCTTCCATTTCAATTCAAGATCATTGTTTCTGTTTTGGAAAGATTTATTTTGAGTTTTACTTCTTGAAATACTTGGTCAAAGATGTTAATTTTTTGTTCAAGATCATTCTTATCCCAACTGTGAATACATATGTTATCAGCATAACCCTTATCATCAGTAGATTGGCCTTGGGAGGGAAAGCATGAATGCTGTTTTTTATTAGTACATTTGTCTGGGATGTGATATGGAATGGCTAAATGATCAGTGCCCATCTCTTCATAACTGTGCTTGTAATTGTGCAGATTAAAGTCTAGGAAATCACTTTCTATTTACTGAAATATATAATAATCAAAATATTCCTATGCTTCTTGGTTTAGTATTTTATCAAGAAGTGAAGAGCTAAAAAGCCTGTTTCCATCATTATGATTCAATTTCTAGTTATGGGTTATAACAGCAAAAACAACAGATTGTTGCTGGTAAAATACTGATGACTGACTTTAAGAATAAATCAATTTTATGTTTAATTTGAAACTTAATAATAGTGTGGAGTCTGGATTCAAACTCAATCCCAATAATCATGGTTTGGTTTTTGTCAGTTTGTTTCAAAGTCTGAAAGAAAAATCCTATCAACATTGAAAGCAGAAGAGAAATAAAAGGATTGCTAATTGCTACAGAAAATAATGATACCTGTGAAATAATGATATCTATGAAATAATAATACCTTTATTTCACTTAAAAATATTTCTTATTACATATTTTTATTTGGAAATAATTGTTTTTTCTAAATCCTTATTTCAGGAATATCATTATTTTATGCCCTCATCATTAATTTTTTCATTTGCTTTTTCATTTTCCATCATGAGCAATTTACACTTTATTACAATAAAACAATTTTTTGAAATCGTAAGCATCTCATTGAATACGAGACTCCTGCTGATTTGTTGTACAAGTAAAGCTTGCTTTAAATTTTAAATAATGTTAGAATTTGAATAATGACAGAGTAGTCTCCCCTTATTTATTTTCCGGTCATTATAAGGTCTATAAGCAGGAAGTAATTATGTTGTTAGAAACAAAGAAAAATGTACTAAACTGTACTGTTATGTAATATCAGTATTCCTACAGGGCAATTTATGCCGGACAAACTCCTCACAGATGAAAAAGATACTTGAAGCAACATAAACGTAGATCTATCAGAAAGATGTTGAGAATACAATGAACTGAATATGTGAGTAACAAAGAAGTTTTAGAGAAAATAGAAAAAAAAAAGGACTATTATACTTCACATCAGAAAGAGACAGTTGAAATTTCTTGTGCACATAATGAAGAAAGAGGACTTGGAAAATTTGATACTCACACGAAAGACTGAAAACAAGAGTGACAGAGGAACATAATGTATGACCTACCTAGCGAACTTGAGTAAATGGATGGCACAACAAGGTTTAGGAGAGATAATAAAAAAGACAAAATATATTAAGAGATACAAAGGATAGGAAATTGTGGAGAGCCATGATTGCCAACGTCCTGAAGGAACACAGTGCCTAGAAGAAAAATTTCCAGAATAGGATTTGTAAATAAAGATACGTGGGAGATAAAAGACAGATTTCAAATGTCCCCATGTGCACATTAGAAGTTTAAATATTGTCTTTGAGTTACCTTTTTTACATACTCCACTAAACAAGCCCCTACCTGAGTCTTTGATGTGCTGAAAGATAGAACAGTGACTTTGGCAGGCTTTAAAAAGGTCTTTTACTGAAAGATAATAAAATACTCACGTGCAGAATGTATTGTTTCCGTTCTCCAAACATACTCGCTCGGTCGTCCCAAATACAGAAAAAGCGTAGCACTTTACCATCCATTTCCAAAAACTGCTTCAATTTATCAAACTGCGATGGTGTTGTCATGGATTTTAGGCCTGAGCATTTTTGTCGCTGATTTGTATAAGGGTCAGGTGGAACATCCTCAGGAGGATTCACCTCAATCCCTTCACTTTTCAGAAATTCCTACAGAAACAAACACACCAATTAAATCATTATTAAAATATATTTATATTCAGTAAAAATTGTTAATTATTAACAATAAAAAGTAGCCATCATCATCATCATTACAATAACCACCACCATCATCATCATCATCACTCATTATCATCACTTATGATGATAATGAAGAGAGTTAAATATTGTTATAATAAAAGTTAAGTATGTAGAAAATAAATAACACTTAAGTATGTATTTGATGATTATTGGCTTTCATATGATTTTTGTCCCAAATGTCATTGAGTAAGAGCAGTATCTTTAGTCATTGATTATTTCATGTTTTACACATAGCATAATGACATTGTATAAACATTTTATTGTTCTTTACTGGTCTCTATTTCTGATATATGTATATTACACAGATACTGCATGATTTGCAGACTATATCATTACATGGCATAGATATAACCATTTCATTTTTTATATGTCTACATTTCTGATATATATATATATATATATATATATATGAGTTAAAGATCAAATGCAGATCAAATATGGATCAGAATCTGACAGCATGATAAAATAAAAGAACAAATAGGAAATGTTTATCAATCTAACATGTTTCACTTTTATTAAAGCCTCGTCAGAGATTGAGAGAAAACAGACAAAAAGACAGAAACTCTGGTATTTTCAATTTTTGGGGGGTCAGTTCTCATTGGTCAGACACATGTCATGTGCATTAAAACCATAGATAATTCTATATGTATGCAAGCTTTAATAAAAGAGAAACATGTTAGATAGATATACGTTTCCTATTTGTTCTTTATTTTATCATATATACACACATACAAATGAAATGGGAATAAATCGAATATAAATTCAAACATTCAAAACATGAATTTAAAAACAGGCTGCAATACAACAGTAGAACGATAATTCTTTATTATAGGATATTACATTTGAACATATGCAAAACTGCTACGTAAATGCATTCATGTTTTGATGCATATCATCACATTTCATCAGGCGGTGGGGGTAAATGAGGGTTATCATATAGAATAACCCTCATTTACCCCCACTATCTGATGAGATGCAATGATATACACTGAAACATTGTCAGGCCAATGGCCTGCCGATTTCATCTAGCATGAAACATCCTGTCGCCACTGAGTGTTGACTTCAATGTTCACTTTTATATATATATATATATATATATATATATATATATAAATTATGATTATTTCAAATCCTCCTAATTATTTCTCTCTGTATATCCTTGCTTGAACCGGCGTCTAATGCTCTGGACTGAGCGGCTTGGGGATAGTAGTCATAGCTTGAGGAGGCACAGTCCTATGGGTAAAAGAGAAACTCAGAGAAGTTCCACCACAGAATTTGTGATCAAGTGGCACTATATTGAGTCTAATTCATTACCACTTTGTCAAAGAACCATTGGTGCAGTTGGTATGGTGTTTGCCTCCTATTGTAATTGTTCAAGTTTCAATTTTTGGTAGTGGATGCACACTGCTGATGAGTCCCAAATGGAAGACGAAACAGCCATCCAGTGCTTTCTGTTGAGGTTTCTTCTAGACTTGATGAATTACTTAATTATTATATATATATATTACTGTTATATCTATAGTGCATGGTTCATTGTATAATTTACAGGCTTGTATCATGGCATAAATGGCAACTTTTTTCTTCTTCTTTGTCAGCATTATGTTCATGCTTTAGACTGTTCTTGTCTTTTGACTTTGTCTTATTTCATCATGCTGTTATCAGTTTAGCACAATCAGAAAGTGCTTAACTTTACATGAAATTAAAAAAAAAGAAGAAGCTATTTATCAAAATGAAAATAGGTTGGAGATTTAGAATGGAAATGTTGAATGATTTTTTTTTAACTTTTTATCATTTCTAACACATTGTCTTCTTACTCTGTTTATGAACCAAAATCTTGAAATGACTCAATGTACATTTATTCCTCCTTCATTGTGTGACATGGAACTGAACAATTTTTCTACTGGAATTGTTCAAAATGCTTCTCAAATTTAAATCAGTAACTCGTATATTTTTGTGCTCATCACAGTACAAAATGCATACTTTAAGGGTTGATATTGATTGCATAAGAAAAAAAGGAGGGGGTACATTTGTGCACCCCCTTTTTCTTACAAAATTATAAAAATGAGGAATAGCATATTGCAAAAATGTGACTTCATATTAAAGAATTTATTAGATAAAATCTGAAATGAAAATTTATTACAATACATAATAGAATCAATATACAATACAATGTTAAACAAATAGGTCAAGCTCAAAGGGTTCAAGACAACTTTTTTTTTAATGCAGAGTTGAAAGTTGCTCAGTGCTGAAAAAAATAGAAATTATGAAATTAAAAATGAATAAACCAATTTTCTCCTTTTTACTATCAGTAAAACAAATAACTTCAATTCTTTCTTTGAATGACACGGGCTAAATTTTTTAACATATTCCACCACTTTGTACCTTAATTGTTTCCTAAATGAAAACCAGAAAAAAAGAAATAAGAATTAGATAAAGTAATAATGTTAAACCTTAATGAATCTTGAAACCTTCTGACATAATCATTAGAAGACACATGAAGTCAAGTGAGCCCTAAATGATTTCATCGGAGTCTGAAGTGTCTAGTATTTTTATGACTAGTAGTAAAATCTACAAAGTAAGATCTTCAAGATGGCCACCCACTTGACCAAAAGGGGAATAAAAAATATAGTTAAATAAATTAAACTTTTAAGAACAAGTGTGACTTGGCTGGAAGTTAGAAAATTCTTCTTGCAGGCATATATAAACAGTTAGAGTTATAAGTGAAGGGAGCTTTGATGCATGCCTGTGGATGTTGTATAAAACTAGAGTAGATGAGTTGTAAAGGGCCGGCACTAGGTCTTCAAGCACACAAAACTTTGATATGGAACCCGCTCTCTATTACATGTCGATTCCAAAATTTCCCAACCTGTGGGCGACAAATCCATGAGGGAAAATTGGAGGGGAAGAGCAGGGCATTTTAAATTACCAAAAATCAGGGAATTACTCAATTTAAATGAAATTTTTTGTATATATTAATTATTTACTTTTATAATGAATAGGTTTTTTTATTTTTAAAAAATCCGAGAAAATGTTATTCTTTTTGTAATAACTACCAATATTTTCATGACTAAATTTTACTCAAAACAAATGTTTAAGTTGCAAATTTTTACATTTCCATAAAGATTAATCACTGACATATCTCTGCTGAAAAAAATGTTTTGCAAAGATTCCAACATAACACAAACAGAATTGTCTTAAAAATTTGTTTTAAAAACAGTATTTCAGTTTTTGGAAAACTTTTTCATGTTGAAATATTTAAACATTTTTATTTTTTTAATCGATCATTTTCTTGATTTTATCTTTCTAGAAATGTAAATATAGGGACTAGAAATTTTATTTTAATTACTAGCTGTGGATTTATGGTTAGTATTTACTAATAATTAGCAAAAAAAAAATGGAATAAAAATAATTTTACCAAGAAAAATTAACCTTTTAATTGATTCAAAAGAATTGTTCAGAAAGAAAATTACAATGTAAAAAAATAATCACTACTGAAATTAGCACGTCTGTCCCCCACCTTCCCATTAGGTATGGGGGGCCCCCGTACAGTTGAGAGTTTCGGGGTAGTAAAGACCCTCTCGATTATTATAGTTGATGATTGACAATATAACTTAGGTAGAAAAAAGTAAAAAGTACAAAAAGCAAAAAAAAAAAACACTGCTTAAACTAGGCCTTTTGGAGCACCAACCTTGTTGATGATTCCTGTGCAGAACACATCACACTGTTCATGCACATACATGATGTATATTATTAGTTGACAACTGACAATGTAACATCAGTTTAAAAATAATTAAAAAAAATGGTGGATGGCCATAAAACAGTGCTGAAAAAAAGTGAAAGGAAGCAACAGGCCCCGACCCAAATTAAATAATTTGATTCATAGACACCCTATAAGCTACACATATTCTTGGTTGGATGCTCATTGAAATGCATTTGCTTGTGAATGTTAAACTGTTGAATTTTGAAAGTTCTACAACTGTGGCTTATTGCCAAAGTTGGACAAGTTACTGCTACTCTGTGGAAACAGCTCCCAAAGGGATGCTTCCCCAATCATTACAATCTTAACCTGTTTGAGTCTAAGCTTAACTGTTATCTTCTTCCCCACATATCCCTATAAACTCTGTCTCTTACTCTGTTACACACTACTGTGAGTGGCTCAGAGTGAAAGAAAAAAACAACAAAAAACGAACATGTTGTCTATAATCTGATGTGGACCACTTGAATTTAGAAGACCGAGTTAAAGAAAATAGATGATTACATTCTTTTAATTGAATTTGTAGCGATTGCCCTGCCTTGTCTGCCAGGATACCCACTTGGTAGCATTCTATTCTGACTATAAAAGGAAGAAACAAAATACATTTCTTCCTTTTTTCTGCTTTTTTGCTCTAGGATGCAGTAAATAGACAAGGTGTCCAGTCTTACCCTCTGGAGAGACTTATATATATACGTGGATGTAGGTTTTTAGGCAGTTATTCATTTAATTTGAAAGACACATTTGCTCTCACCAATCAAGAGAGAATGTCCCCTTTGACAACAGAAGCAGAAGCTCAACTTCACTTCCAGACACCCTGTTAAAAAAACATTGTTTCAAACACATGATAGATTCTACCAAAACATTTGAGTTGGTTTTCTTTCCCTTCAACTCAACTTTGCAATTTTCCTCTCGTGTTTTCCTATCAAGTAACTTTTTTATTCAAAAATATCTCAAAAGGACTTGAACATTGTTTTCCTAAAAGAAATTCTGGTGCACAAATGAATATTGGTTTATTTTATGGTACAGTTTATATTTGCTATTTGTGTGATAATTTTTCTCATTATTGTAGAATAAAAAATATTTTTGTTTTAAATCAACAACTGTGCTTGAATTCTGGTTACCTTTCTTACAGCACCATTTGCAGGTTCATAAAAAA